TTAAGCCCAAGACCCAAGCCTTTTAGGGTTTTAGCGTTTTAGGGTTTAGGGTTTAGGGTACTTATAACCACAATTTCATACTAGTCCGGGCTCCAGCTACCCCTCAAAACCCTCAAGCCTACACTCTCAACCTGTACAAACCCTGACCTCTAGACCCGGAACATCCCTAATGCCTATATGGGGATTTCCGGAAAATAGGAGACCCTAAAATCGTACCCTTTATTGTAGCATCCCTATTTTAAGGACCCCAAAATAAGGTACCCCTGATATTCCAAAACTCCCATATCAGCCCCACACCCTACACCTTCTCCGAACCTGGAACCTGGTAACCCTATCGGCCCCAAAGCCGTTCAAGTCGTTTTTTGGGCCCATGCGATAAGGGACTTACGGTTTTAGGGCTTGGGGTATTTAGGGTGACTTAATCCACTTTCTCCAGCAACCCCTCAATAGTTTGGGTGTCGCCTTTCCCTACGATTCGGTTGTACTAGGGAGACACCAAAAAAGACAGGGCAAAAAAGGGTACCACTGGGGAACCTGGTTAATCATTACAATAGGGATTTGGGGTTCCTTCAAAGGGTCTGCGCTCTTCGAATCGGGATTTGGGATGCATTGCACTAGATATAACTTGATATAACCAACGTACAACAGCTATAGGGGACTATGAGGAGATTCCACCCTAAACCTCAACCCTAAACCTCTAAACCCTAAGCTTATAATGTTTCTATTCCCTGCATACCCCCCTAGAAACCCAAAGGGCCAAACTCTGTAAACCCTTGGACCGAACTTTCTACTATATGGGAGTTTCCGAAAATAGGGGACCCTAATATAGTACCCCTTATTATAAGGACCCCCCAAATCAAGGTACCCCTAATTTTTGGAAACTCCCATATAGTCACTGAGGACTCTCTGGGTGAGATCAGCAGTCACCCGTCGAAGACGCCGTGGAGGCCTCACCAAGTAGGGTTATTTCAGGTTCGGAGCTTGGGGGGTTTAGGTAATTTGATGGTTTAGTTCCTGCGAGTTAACACTGAAGCCTACAGCCTAAACCTCGAAGCCCTAAACCCTAAACTTTGGCCCTATAAACCTTAAACCCACCTTCTACACCCTACACCCTAAACCCTAAACCCTAAACCCACCCTTCTACCACGTAAAAACCCTGAGCCGCGAGAGCAAAGCTCGCCGTTGGGGTTGAGCCTGTCATTCGGAAGCAGGCTCCCTAGTAGTAGGGTTTAGGGTTTAGGGTTTAGGGTTTAGGGGTTTAGGGGTTTGGGTTAGGGGTTAGGGTTTAGGGTTTAGGGTTTAGGGTTTAGGGTTTAGGGTTTAGGGTTTAGGGTTTAGGGAATTCGACTTTTCTTTGAAGGTAGGGGGGGCACCTTACAGTGTTCTGCTAAGAGCAAAAAGAACCCTAAGGAATAATGAGAACAGGCTTTGGGAGGCACCTTATAGTGTGTGTTTTTCATTAAGGAACCCTAAGGAATCAGGGCGACTTTTCCGATCTGACCTGTGTTGCAGCTGCACTTAAGTTCAAGGCTTGACAGCCAGACTTTGGCAGCAAGACCCAGAGAACCCAATACCCCTTAATTTAGGAATTTATCTTAAATCATAACATTAAGGCCCCTACAATTTAAGATATATTGCTCAATTACAGGGTACTATAGGGGCCTTAATTATTAGAAGAGAGTTCGGGTGCTCCTTTATAATAGAACTATATAATAAGGAACCCGAAGACTAATATTTGTGATTTTCTAACCTTCCACTCTTGGGTTCTCTGGGGATGGGGACGGGGGACCCCGTCCTTCGGAAAGGGTCTGTGGAGAGCTTCACAGCACAGCAGCCAATGCGAAACTTCCGACGCAAACGTCGGTGAGAAGCGCCACGGCCCCTTTCGGGCTGGCGGCTAGAAACGGGAATTTACTGTAGGGGCCTAAATGATTAGAGCAAGGTTTTGGGTTATATTATGCTATTTACTATAATTAAAAATAAGGAACGCCCCAAAATCATATAGATACTTATTGAGGCCCCTATTTTTATTCATCCGCAAGGCTGCTGCACTGAATTCGAGCCTCGACTTCAAGCTCTCACTGCCCTTCCTTCAGCGGGCTCACTTGGCCTTTCTTCATGACAAAAGGAAGAGCATAGGGAACCACGAAGTTGCGGAGACTGGCTTTCCAGCCAGTCGTGGTGTACCTGTAGCCCCGAACCCTACACAAAAGTAGGTTCTGACTCCTTGATTACAGGTATTAAACCTTAAACCCTGAACCCAAAAGCTTGAATGCAATTCCTTATTGAACCCTAAACCCTAAACCCCTAAACCCCTAAACATTAAACCCCTAAACCC